TTACCATGGTGGGAAGATTTGTGATAAGCAATATATAATAGAATATCAGAATTGTCCAGTTTTAAAGAACTGAGCATATAGTGGAGGATGTAACTAAAATCCGTACTGGATTTAACCAGCGATAGTGCAATAGTGTAAAAGTGTGCATAGAGTCACTAATCAACCAATATTTACAGAGTGACCAAAGAGTGGTCTAAAAATTGTGACATGAAAGTATGTAAAAACATAAGTCACTCATATATTTTAAACAGAAAATACTGACTGCTCAAGGATCAAGAGGAAAGACTATTAAGCTATTAAAAGTCTTAGAGAAAGAGCAGGTTGGAGACAATGATAAACATAAAAGACAAAAAAAAAGTTGGAGCATAAATACACTTTGCACATACATCAGATGGGATTTTCTGACAGATAAAATCTTGGTTAAAACACAAAAATGAAGATGTCTCCCTGTTGTTTATGCTGGGAAACAATGAAAATAGAATCTCCATTTATCAAGAAAGACCGGTCTAAGTTTTGGTTCCTCAAGAAAATGTACGTTATGAAAAAGTACTAAATGCAACAGTTAATTTAGCAAAAATGAGGATTGATGAAAGGAAGTAGAAGATATATATTTTATGTATGGAAGTCTTGGAGATTAAGCCAAGGATTTATTTTGTAGGGAATTCTAGAGCTTTCCAAATTTGTCCTTGCTTTGTTCATTCCTTTTTTCTTTCCTTCCTTCCTTCTCTTGCTTTTCTTCTTTCTCTTTATAAAGAAGAGGCTTTGTTAACTTTTGTCCAGTGTATTGTATACTGGATACTGCTATACTTTGAATGTGTAATTCAAATTCACAGTACAAACAAATCTGTGTGTTGGAATTTGGTTGTATTGTGAAGGTATTAGAAAGTTATTTGAGGGCCTTCAGATGGTGTATCAGTTATGTCACTGGACTTTGACATGGCGACTGGGATTTGAGTCCCAGACTCAGAGACTTCAAAATCACAACAGCGCACGTATGGGTGTGTGCCCTTAAACCAGGAGGAGAAGTGAGGAGAAAGGATAGTGGTGTGGCCATCTCCCTTGGAGGGCGATTTCTCACTTTCCCTCTCACTGTCTCTCTCTCTCTCTCTCTCTCTCTCTGGCAAGTGCATACATCCTCAGGCAAAAACTTCTCAAAAAAAGTTATTTATTCCAATAACAGTGTTGAAGGGTATGTAGGACATTTGGTTAGTCATCAGGGTGGGGTCTCCATGACTAAGTAGACTGGTGGATTTATAAGGAGAGGGAATAAGACATACAATGCATGGATCTGGAGACGTGATCTATACTCTCTCCTGTCCTCCACGCTGTTGGAGGAGGGTAACCCTCACCAAGTGTCAGTACCATGACTTTGGACTTCCGAGCCTCCAAAATCATGAGCCAAGGAAGCTTCCAGTCTCCTCAGTTATCCAGACTTGAATGTTTAGGTTATTAGCAACAGAATAGACTGGAATAGATCTCCTTCGCTTATTGAGAAATAAAGTACAACTTTTCATCTGAAACACAGTAATGTTGTCCACTTCAACGACACAGGGACTATTATAAAAGGTTGGGCTTCAAACCCAAGTGGGTTTTCTTTTTCGTTCTTCTCTAGCCAAAGTGCATGCAACGTGATGAAGAGCCCCTCTGTGTCACTGCTGGCGTTTTTACCCGCATCTCACAGCCACTTCTGATCTCAGGGAGTGTCACAGATACCATCTCAAGTATTTGTAAACTATATTGATTCCGATGCTTTACAAACTATGTGCTCTTGAGTTTCTGGCATTTTTTTTTTCCATTTAAATTTTCATTTGAAAATTTTCAGAACATTTCAGTAAAACATCTTTACATGTTAACATATAAAATCAAGCGTCTTTGTGACTTGGTCCTTAGAAATATCTCTAAATGCTATCATGGGAAATCATAGAAATAGTTTTATAAGTAATATGCTTAAAAGTTTAAAAATACTCACTTAAAAGATCAAAATTATTCTAACATAAGTAAATAAGAAAGCAAATGTTGTAATTTGCTATAATATTTGCAGAAAATGTGTATCTTTGCTTATTATATCTTTTGGGGAAAAGCACCTTAGAAACACAGGCAAAATTATGTTTTAAATAGTAATATTAATAGGAAAGTAACATAAAAGGTTGATATTACAAATGTACTGATAGAGTAGTACTTTTTACAAGTTCATATAAATGTGGCATAAAATGAACTCTCAAATGAGGTAGTTCATAATTTTGAGATAGAAACTTTTTTAATTTTTTTTATTTTTTCATTTCATTTACTTTTATACGTTCAATCACATTATTATTTGGCTTATGAAATGGATATTTCAACAGGTGAACATTTCTCCCTAGTACAGTTGATAAAACAACAAAATATCTTCAACAGATAATACCACATTTCTTTGTGCCATTAATGCTTTGCCTTCCTATTTTTCTTCTAAATGTCCTTCCTCAGACCCTCCTCTTTCACACACACTATATCTGGTATTTACAACTATATACTGTGTTTCTATATCCTTTAGTCAACTAGTTTCAGTCATAGAGTGCGGACACTTGGTATATATTAAGTTTTGGACTCCTGATAGCTTTGAGAAGATTAAATTTGTAATTATTATACTACTATGTATTTGCATTTAGACGAGCTACTTTTTTTTCTCTCTTATCCTTAACATATGCATTTTTTTCTTTTACATATAATACTGAATGTTTGACTTAAATACTTAGTGCAGTGAACATTTGTAGGAATCAAAATGGAGTCCGTTGTGTTACACCCTGACTGAAACAAGTGGAGAAGGCCACAAGGGAACCCTTTCATGCTAGTACACCCAGTTATAAGAACCATTATTTAAAGAACTCTACCAGAATGACAGTCTCACACAAAGATCACTGCAACCAGACAGAAGGACTAATTCTATAAAGACATCTTCCCAGAGACTGCCTATCTAACCTTGGACTGACCCCACTGTTGTTGTTAACCCTGGTAGCCAAGGATAATTGTCTCTTAACAACTGATATAAAGTCCTCCGTCATTCTCCCCTTCTACAACTGCTGGTGGTTTTTGCTTTTAAAATTTGCCTATGTTGATAAGACCTCAGTGCACATGTTCGGGCAACCTGAGTATGTCCATGCAGGCTTCTTATTGAACTACAGTCCTCAAACTTAGCCTGAATAAATTCCTTTTGCTCTACATACGTTGCCTCAGTTTTTATCTTAGGTTGACAATGCAATTAAGTGCCATGATTGTATGACAAAGAAATAGTAGTCATCCTTAAATATATTTAGAAAGTTAATAACTAAGTTAATCAGCAAAACAGAAAGCCAGACTTATATGTAATGCTACTAAATATTAACTATACTGGCTTCATGTTTATTTGCAAAAATAAGGGCTTTCAATTTGGACAGTCTTGATGTCAAGACAATGGTTAACTAGATTCAATTCCCTCTCCCACCACCATGGAAGACCAGAACACAAACTCTTCCAGTTAGAAAGGATTTTAACAATGCTATAACACTATGCAATTTGTAATGGAGCCATTCCTAAGACAATACAGAACCGCTTAGAAGATATTAGAAAACAGAAACACAATTTAGAAAATCATACATATGATAGATGATGACTATCTCAGATTCAGCTATTCATAAGTAATCCCAAAGGATCAGAACATGTAACATTTTGATTTATTTGTTGCCTGGTGAACCAAATTCAAATAACCACAAAGAAATTGCAATGAGTAATTTAATGAAATAACTTCAGTGAATAGATTGACAGTGATGCATGTAAACCGAGAATTGAAACACTAAACATTGATCTTACCAGGAGATCACTGCAATGAAAAGAAACAGATCTGTGGTTAAGAGAGTAAGTTTGGGCTTGCCCCATGGCCTAGTGGGTAAGGTCATTGGATCTCACATGGCTGTCCTCTCAGTTCAAGCTTCAGTCCCAGCAGGTATTCATTCAAATCCCTAATCCTGACATAATGGAGAAGTGGAAGAGAAGGGACTGTGGTCTGATCAACCCCCATGAGAAAATACTTTCTCCCTGCCCCTCTCTCTGTCCTCTGTCTCTGACCAGAAAACCTGCCCTCTGGCAAATGAAAAGAAAAAAAAAAATTAAAGAAGAGAGTAAGCCCAAGAGCTAATCCAGCCAACTACCCTCTATAGCTGATTCTTCACCCTTGTAAAGTGAGACTAACAAGGGTCTTTCCTAGGACTTACTAAGTATTAAAAATGACAAATGTAAAACATTCTAAAACCTGGCTGACAGCATAAGAAATTGCTGTTGTTCGGATTTGCCCTCACTGAGTAACATACTCAACAAAAGCAAGACCACTGGGTTGCTGATCAATCACACAGTTTGTCTAATTACTTTTCCTTTTAATTAAATGTGTTTCTCCGAGTTCATTTTGCACAATTTGTTGTCTCCTTTTATTTTACGTTTTGGGTTTCGTATTATGCTCCTCCATGTCCTACAGCTATGTTTACACCAAAAATGACTGTCAATCGCACACAACCTCATGTTTAAATAAACCCAGCCTCCTAAAATAGGCACATAAAATGGTATTCTAACAATTTTGAAGGCATGGGATGCAGAGAAGTGAGAGAAACCTCTTCTTCAAGTGCGTGTAAGAATTAAAGTCATCAAACATAGCATTAAAAAAGAACTGGTTACGACAGTATTTTTCTTTTCTAAATATAATCCAAACCTCTAGTTGCCATATGTTAATAAACTTTGCATGGTAAATTCTAATTTAGTATATAACAACATTGATTTCCAAATGTAAACTGAGATATAATTGAGGTAAAATGCCTTCGATGCCCCCAATTGCTTGAATTATCTATTTTAGTCTCCTACTTGAACTTTTTTCTTTGTTGTCAGTCTCCATGTGCACTTGCAAGAGAGAGAGAGAGAGACAGAGAAAATACCCGCAAAATCGGAGGTGAAATCAATTCTTGTCTATTTCCCCTTCCCACCAGGATCCTGGACATGCTTACATGGTCCTGTGTGTGGTTCAAGGTTTCAAATTGAGAACAGCCATGGGACTGGGCTCTCTTAGCCACTGTACCATGGGGATGGTCCTTCTACTTGAGCTTCAGTTGCATCATGAAACACAAACAGAGTTCTAGAATTGAAAGTGCAATTGCATGCAACATAATAACAATAATAAAAGCTGTTCTAAATTCTCATCACTTCCCTGCCCATTAGCACTGAAGGTTACCACATTAGTTGAAAGTGAACATTGTGCCAGTATTTATAGAGAAACACCTCTGTGTCCTATGCCCTGCGCGAAGGAAACACGGTTTCTATCCTCACTGAAATACAGCCTAGAGGCCAGCAGGTGGTATGGCAGTTCAGGGGTTGGATTCTCACATGGCCAACCACGGTTCGATTCCCAGACCTGGAAGCTTACTTTCTCACTTTCTCCGCTCTTTCTCTCTCTCTGTCTCTGGTGAGCACACATGCTCTGTGGCAAATTTTTAAAAAATAATAATAAATAAAATAAAATAAATGAATAATTCTTTGAAAAATAAGAAATACAGCCTAGAAGGAGAATCAGGTATTAATAATCACACAGATGTGAAAAGATTTTGCAAGAGAATACATAGCAATTACCTACATTAGACTGAGTCGTCTGGAATCTGTTAGAGGAAAGATCTGTTGAGGGGATACCTGAAGAATGAGTAGGATTTTGTCATTTGAGAGTCTCTAAAGCAGAAGGAATAGTATGTTGGAAGGATCAGAGGGGCCATTGCAGACTAAGAGCAACACAATATGATGAAAATGGAGAGGTTCAAGGATGAGTGCCCCGGAATAATGCTGGAGGGGAAGGAACAGGTTAGATCACTTTGGGTCCTACTGCACATGTTAAAAAGAATCTTCGCTTTGAAGCACTGTTTCCATGTCAATTTATTTACACACGCAGCAGAAAAGAAGTGGCTGAGAAACGAAGCTCTACTCTGGGGCTGAAGAGAGCATTTGTTTCCTTACCTTCCCCAGCTTCCAGGGATTACACGCATTGTCATCTCTTTTCGCCATCTTCAAAATCATCAGCGTTGCTTCTCTTTGATCCCTTCCAGTGATCACATCTCTCTCTCTCTTTCTCCCCATATCTTCCCCACCACCCCTTGCTGGGAAAGGCTCTCTACTTTGAAGGACTTATATACTTAAAAAAGACCCTCCATGATAATCAGGAAAAATCTCCCTATCTCAAAGGTCTATAACCTTAATCAAATGTACAAAGTCCACACCTGCCATGTTAGTCTATACATTGATATTTATAAGTTCCAGGAATAAGGGGATGGCTGGGGCAGAGGGGGATAGAGCATGTCATCCTATTATGATATCTTTTTTATTTTTTAGAGGGAGAGATTTTTTTGCTATCAGGTACGTGCACACAGCAAAGAGACAGAGCGGCAGAGAGACAGAAAGCAAGACATTACCTCTCAGGGGGATGACCAAGCCACAATTCATTCTCCTCCATTCTCCTTTTGAGATTCTGGGCATGCACACGCATATGCCTGATGTGAGTTTTAAGCTGCGGGATCTGGAACTTGAACTGTGGCCAACTATATGGAAGCCCAGCAACGTAACGATTACGCTATTTGCTGGCCCCTATAATATCCTTTATACATGCAAATTACCTGCTGAGGAGGACAGTAGGCCATGGACAGTTCTTTGCAGACACGAAAGGAAAAGTAGTAAGTCCCTCTTGTGCTAAGCGAAGTTGTCTGTCTTAGAAGGAAAAAATGGTGATGTTAGACAGATCGATGACTGATAGATGCAGAGAAAGCCCCTTCCCTGTATCCCTCTACCTATATTTATCAGTCATCAGCAAGATGAGAAAAAGAATGAAAAATGGAGTTCAAGCGATTGGTGAAATTCTTATCTACCCTCTTCACATATCTTTCTTGTTTTGTTTTTACCCATAGTTTTTGTTAAAACTTTGGTTTATGTGTTGAAGGCTTTGAAGAAAGTCTGAGAGTTTTCCAGAACTGGAGATGAATGTGGTTCATTGTTCCTTTACATCCCTACCAAAAAAGGGGAAAGCAAAAAAGTCAAGCCTAGTAGAGATTCTTGCTAAAAACGCAGAGTGTTTGCATCGAATTATAAACAGCCGATAGTGTGATTGAGCAGTGATGCGACCTGGGACAGGAATTTCCCTGTCCTCATCAATGAATGGCTGGAGTAGAAAATGGAATAAATGAAGAGTTTTCACCAGTCCCTAAAGGGCGGGTGTAAAGCTGTCTGTAACTAAGAGTGAGCTGACCTTCCAGAGATACACGCTGGTGAGCGGCGAGAATTATATAGCAGAGTGACAGACTGAACAGCCTCCAGGGACACGTGGATCATCTTTCTGTAGACAAGAAGCACAAAACAAAATCTCAGGAGGGGATCCTGTCCAGCAGAGGATTACGAGTCTCCCCTTGTGGCGACCATGGAGTATCAGCTGTGCTCAGAGAACAGCTCGTGAGTGACTTGGCCAGAGGAGACAACCAAGATAAGATTCTACCATTAAATAACAGGCAACAGATTTAGCAGGTGATGCGGTGGTTAAAGCACTGGACTCCCACATGGCAGACCATGACTCGAGTCCTGGACTGGGTCGCTGGAAAATTATGCTGGCCGCGTGTTTGTGCATGTGTGCTCAAAACCTCAAGAGGAAAATGGGGGAGGGACTGCAGCAAGACCATCACCCCTGGGCAGGGGATGATTTCTCACTTTCCCTCTCGCTGTCTCTCTGGCCAGAGCACACACCTTACAGCAACAAACAAACAAACAAACAAAAATGGGCAACAAGAAGTCAGTGGAGCTAGCAAAGAAGGCAGCAGAAAGCTCAGCATTGATTAGGACCAGCAGTTAGCGTAATGGCTACGATGCTAGTCTCCCATGCAGTTGACCTTGATCCGCATCCTGGACCCGGTTGCTTAAACTCATGCGGGGTGCATGTGTGTGTGTGCCCAAGATCCCAAGAGGAGAATGGAGAAGAAGGGATTGTGGCGTGGCCATCCCCCCTGGGGGGTGATTTGTCACTTTCTGTCTCTCTGTCTCTCTCTGTCTTTCTGGCAAGCAAACACATCCTATAGGGAAATATCTCTATAAAAAAAATAAACTAAAAAAAATAAAAAAAGAAAGAGAGAAAGGAAGAAAGAGAGAAAAAAAGAAAGAAAGAAAGAAAGAAAGAAAGAAAGAAAAGAAAGAAAGAAAGAAAGAAAAAGAAAGCTCAGCACCAGGTTTCTATGTAAGTTTCCTTTAAAGGAAGTTGCTCCTTGAGGAAGACGAACGTGGTGAGAAGAAAAAGGACAGAGCAGTTATTTTTCAGATCACCCTCATCTCCTCCAGCATTCAATCCAGAGTTTCAGATGTACACATAAAAATGAAACAAGATGAAACAAAAATATGGGGAGGGTAAGAAAGAAACTTTCTACTTTCTACACCAATTGAGGCTAAATTTACACACACACACACACACACACACACACACACACACACACAGTATGTTTTAGCACAAGGTGAATGAGTTACCTTGAAGGGATATGTTTAAATCCCTCTCCAGGGAACCAGCAGTTAGCTTAATGGCTATGTCACTGGACTCCCATGTAGTTGACCACAGTTCGAGTCCCGGATCCACACTGGGCATATGTGCATCCGTGTCCAAGATCCCGAGAGAATGGAGGAGAAGGGATTGTGGCGTGGACATCCCCTCTGGGGGGTGATCTCTCACTTTCTGTCTCTCTGTCTTTTTCTGTCTTTCTGGCGAGTACATGTGCCCTATAGCAAAAATAAATAAATAAATAAATAAATAAATAAATAAATAAATCCCTCTCCAACTTCTAATCCCATCAGTGAAAACAAAGACTCTAGTGCCAGATGTAATCAACTCTAGAAAGCAAAGAAAGTAACTTTCTTTTTCTTGTTGGCATACCTGAGTTGCAGTACATAGACTTTGACAATCACTTGCATGTAGCAAGCTCCCTTTCGGAAAATTGAAATCAATTGAAAAATAAATTCTGACATAATCTTATCTTTTGCAAGACTAACAGTTGACAAAATTCTCACTTATTCAATTCAAGGATAGTTTAGTCTTTTATTCAAAAGAAGATTCCCAGTCCCTGCTCCTTAACTGCATTCTGTGTCAACAGCTGTCATTTCAGTTTTTGGCATCAGAGATTTTACTGCAAATTGACCTTCAGTGAGTCCTATTACCTCATCCAAACAGATTATGAGGCTTCGAACAAATGATGCTAATTTCCATAGCAAACACTTTAGTTCGAAGTTTGAAAGTCATGTGTATTTGTTTCATCATAAAATAGAATGGTTACTTTCTATATGGTTTAGTTAAATCACCCGATTTTGTTCATTGGTGGACATAGGCTACTTATTTTACATAAATGTATTTTTTGGGTATGATGATTGAAATGATTAAGATTGTGATATATATAAATTTTAATTTACCAATTTACCTAGATTTTAATCCAACCTTTTGCAAACTTTTCTTCTAAATTGCCAGAGTTAAAAATAATATATCAGAATAGAAGCAAGAAAGAATATCTGAGATATGATCAGGTTACAATCTAAATACCTATTTATATTTTTCAATATTTTACTTGTTTACGGGATATGAAGAGTAGGGTTTGCAACCTTCAAATTGTCTTAAATAAAATCCTAGAGCCAAACTTTTACTACTTGCATGGTGGTAAAACAATTCGTAAGCCCAACCTGTTGGTGTAGTCAGTAGTAAACTGAACTGCAGTCCTGGAAGCTATTTGGCCGACTGAGAATTTAGATCCCTGGGTAGGCTGGAAAACATTCCAGGAGTGTGTGTGTGTGTGTGTGTGTGTGTGTGTGTGTGAGCGCAAGACCCTGATGAGCCGCAAGATGGAGAAAAGGGCCAGCAGGCATGATGAGACCTTGTTGAGTATTCTTCTCTTTTTCTCTTTCTCTCTCTTTCATGCATGTTCTCTTAACAATGGATTAAATAAACACATTTTAAGAAAAATCCATAAAGTTTATAAACGACATTTATAGCTTCACCTAAATATAAAGTAAATCTAATCACAACGTGAGATAAC